ATGCAATAGATATTAATATATAAAAGGGCTTGCCTCCTAAACTGTTGTCTAACTGCCTAGTGTCATCTTAAAACTAAAACACATTTTTATAAAGCAAACTGCTTTATGAGTGAAATAAGCGATGTTAAGGAATCCACTCAGAGAAATTTTTACATAGTTATAATAATAATTATATATTTATTAATTAATAATCATAGCAATCAAAGCAATTAACTTTCAGGTTTTTTTTTCTGTTTTTTTTATTGTATGTACTAATGTAATTATGTAATTATTAATGGAATTAATTTTAGATAATTGAAAGATTAATAAGGTACAAAAATATAATTTATAAAAAATTGATATTAAATAAATTGAATAACATCTTTTTTTTTTTTATTAATTTTTACACAATGATTTTTTACACAAATTTACACAATATTAATTTATAGGCCGTATCTGTGCTAGGAAATTCCTGTGTTACAGATGTTATTTCCTTCCACAATGGTTGGTACAATTACACAAATTTTACGTAGCTTTGACGCACTTTAATTTTTACTATCTTATATGACATCTGATGAATTTCTTTATACTTTTATAGTTGTGTGTGTAAATTAATTTATTTATTTTAAAATGTATAAGTTAAACACTCGTAGAGCTCGGTATGCATCTGCATCTGACAGGTGTAAGGCATCATATGCATGTACTTTAAAGTTAATTTTGATACTGCATCTTAGAACTATATGCGGGTGCAAATAACAGACTGTTTAGAAGGTTTACGCTGAATATTAGCGCCGCAAATTTTACTCGAGGGAAACATTATTTAATGTTACTGTATCGGAATAAGTAGAGCTTTGCGAAGTGTAGGAATCTTGAAATTTCGCTTGCAAATTCGTTGGAAATGAGATGTATATATATATTTTTTAACTAGCTACTCGCCCCGGCGTCGCACGGGTGTATGTGTATTTTTTATATATATAGACCTTCCTCTTGAATCACTCTATCTATTTAAAAAAAACCGCTTCAAAATCCGTTTTTAATTTTAAAAATCTAAGCATACATAGGGACGGATAGACCGTGACAGCGACTTTGTTTTATAATATATAACTAGCTACTCACCCCGGCTTCACAGGGGTGTACATGTATTATATATATATATATATATATAAACCTTCCTCTAGAATCACTCTATCTATTAAAAAAACCGCTTCAATATCCGTTTTCAGTTTTAAAGATTTAAGTATATGTAGGGCCAGACAGACAGCGACAGCGACTTTATTTTATACTATATAACTAACTACTCGCCCCGGCTACGCACGGGTGTACATGTATTATATATATAAACCTTCCTCTAGAATCACTCTACTTATTAAAAAAAACCGCTTTAAAATCCGTTGCGTAGTTTTTAAGATTTAAGCATACATAGGGACGGACAGACAGCGACAGCGACTTTGTTTTATACTATGTAATGATGAATGATAATGGTATACTGCATCCATCTCTGCTAACATTTTTTTTCTATCAGTCATTCGGAACGGTTGCGTGTTGCTCTTTTCAAGTCAGAAAAAGATCTACGCTCTACATATGCCGTAACTAGGTGACACGATGCTGTTATTCTGCAGTTACCTTCATCTTCACATAAATTCAAATTCAAATTCAAAATATCTTTATTCATGTAGGTCTATTACAGACTCTTATGATATGTCAAATCTACCGTCAGTTCGGAATGATATCGACATAGTATATAACTGCCTTGTACATGTTTATAATTTTTTTTTTTAAACAGCCATGTATAGTTTTAGTTTATAAATCTCAAACTACATTCAAAATTTAATGCTTCCTCTTTATAATAGTAATATCTTTACATATTTGACGACCTCGGTGGTCTAGCGGTCTAGCACACCGCTTTACGTCCGATGGTCGCGGGTTCGATTCCTCGCACGGCACAAAAATTTGTATTCATGAGTATGATTGTTTGTCTGGGTGTTTTCTATGTATATTATGTATGTATTTACGAAAAAAAATATCTATGTATTTTGTATCAGTTATCTAGTACCCATAACACAAGCTTTAGCTAGCTTAACTTGGGTCTAGATGGCGCTGTGTGAATTGTCCTGAGATTATTATTATTATAGTATAAATCAAAGTAGTCGCCGTTGTCTGTTCGCTTATATCTTTTAAGCGACACAAATGATTTTAATGTAGTTTTCAGCAATAGATAGCGTGATTCAAGAGGAGGGTTTATATAAACCCGAAAAACCCTAAAAACCCTAAAAATAGAATAGAATAGAAAATAATTTATTCAAATAAGCTTACATTGAAGCACTTTTGAATAGTCATTACACTTTTTTAATCTACCGCTCATTCGGAAAGCTGTCTCATCACAAGAAGAACGAGCAAGAAATTTGCGTGTTGCTCTTTTCAATAATTTTATTATTACTTTGCATTTTTTAGTTTAAATGTGTGAATACAAACCACCAATTTGCACTAATTCAATTAAATACTCAAATAGAAAAATATTGAATATATAACTAACTGGTTAAATAATTAATAAGAGGAAATCAGTCATAGTGATTAGAGCAGACCAGTCCCTACAAGCAACACCCGTTCACGAGTATGACGGATGAGCCAGCCATCACTGCGCTCGACCCTATTTTAGGGAGCCCAATGACCCGGCCCACCACGCCGCTACAAGTCTGGACATTTTAGTGAGCATGACTACTCTTATATATAAAAATTCTCGTGTCACAGTTTTCATTCCCATACTCCTCCGAAACGTGAGCGTATTGAGTAGGTCTGAAAATCGGCCAACATCTATTTTTCATCCCCCTAAATGTTAGGGGTAGTCCACCCCTAAATTTTTTAGTTTTTATTTTTTTATGATACAACATACAAAAATACATACAATCCTAAATTTTCACCCTTCTATCATCAACCACTATTTTTTTATAGCGTTATTAATTTATATGACAAAACAACGTTTGCCGGGACAGCCAGTATACATAAAAGAAGCCGAGAAATTCAAAGATTTGTAATGCAGCCGGACGAAGACGAGATAGGTCGCTATTACTATATAAATAGATATATATTATGACTACATACTAGTGGTGCTGTTCATCGATTTTCGTCACTCATTAATTTTTCACTTCGTTCATCAATCGTCAATTTTCCAAAAAGTATCTCTACCTTACCACAAACTCTGCTTCTCTAACGCTAAATAATATGAGTTCTCTATATTTACAACAAAAAAGTATAATGCTCGATACGAGAACAGACTTCCGTATATAATACACAAAACATTTGTTATCTGTGCCCTTAAAGTGACACAAATATGACAAAAGAATGAAAAAGAAGGATTAACTATATTTAAAGTGCAACGAACCGAGACTTGTAAAGGACATGGATGAATATATTTCCCACAACAAAACTGTATACACATGTTTATCCCTTTACTCAAAGAAAGATAGCCGGAAAAAATTCAGAAAAGACTATCACGGTCCGATTCATCGCGGTAACAATAAGCTGTTATAAATTCCACGCGAATTTCAACCCTACGACAACCGTTGTACGGTCGAGGAGAACTGCGCTAATATTTTTGTGAGCATGTAACTGTAAGGTCGTAAAAATAGCGTCCTGTTTACGAGCGGCCGATGATGGCCGAAGGTACCCGAACGATATATACAGTCAACAGCTACGCTGCGACCGTGCTGAAGGTTCAGGGGTGGATAGACTTGAGTTATCTTGTTTATTTATTTTTTTTTCTCCGAGTACATTTGCGATCAGTCCCAGGACTATAAGCGAATATGTTCTGTGATGCTATCATGTAGAGCGGCTTCCCATTGGAAACCTTAGTCATCTGTATCCCAGAGCTACTGCCGATCTTCTAGCTCCAGGATATGATGGCGTTTTAGTCGTCTCACATGCTGTACTATGGTGAGTTATCGAGCAAGTTTGTTGGGGTGTATCTTGTTTATAGAAAGAGATTTATTAGTGTCATAAATATATAACGTAATATCTAAATATTTTATGCCTTATAAACTATATAATACGGTTTGAATTTCCGTGTAGATATATTTATTGACGACCTCGGTGGTCTAGCGGTCTAGCGTATCGCTTTACGTTCGATGGGCGCGGGTTCTATTCCTCGCACGGCACAAACATTTGTATGCATGAGTATGATTGTTTGCATCGGTCTGGGTATTTTCTATGTATAATATGTATGTATTTACGAATCAGTTGTCAAGTACCCATAACATAAGCTTTAGCTAGCGTAACTTGGGTCCAGATGGCGCCGTGTGAATTGTTCTGTGATTATTGTTTATAGAATATTGGATTTACAAAATAATAGTATCTGTTATAGATTTCAAATCGTTATTAATTAATTAATTAATATTAAGAACATGAATGAGACTTTGATTGTTGCCTCTTTATACTTTATCTACTAACATTTAACCTGTATCCTGATATTGTGTGGAAATAATTGAGAAGTCATTCGAAGAATGGAGAACTATTAATTCCGGTCAATTAACTTGTTCTGCATACGTGGACAAAGTTGCGGGTAAAAGCTAGTAGTTTCTATGTTACCTAATGGAAATGTTCACGAACCCGAGTAACGGGTAATAATACGTCTACAAAATCAGAATTATTCAAGCAGATTGATATTTAATTAAAAAAGTTCTTTAATTAAAAAATATATAAAAAGCAAATATTTTCTCGCACAATAACAAATTGTTTCTAAAGCGATACGTATTCACAATAAGCTAACATACCCATAAATCCGTAACACAATAACAGAATTAACTACGATTTATCGTCGGGCGACGCTCAGAGAAACCGTTAACGAGTCCCGCGTCACGGCAGCTGAGAATATTCGTCACAATTCGGCATCCGTCGTGCCAACAATCGGCACGCGCCATTTTCATCTCTTTTCAGACGAGGCTGCGTGGGCAGGCATGCGCAGAAACGCCACCCCGTCGAACTCCGTCAGTGAAGCGGCGCACCTCGCCGCACTGAGTTACCGCGCCCCCTTGTCTATTCCGATGATAAATTTATTATATTAATTTCAAAATTGGAACGCGCCAATGATCACGCGAAGGTGCCGCTGAACGGGTTAATTGATACGTGAATTGGGTTAACATTTTGAGATGGACTTTTAGCATCCAAGTATACGGGTATCGAGATACGTGCTAGTGAGTTACCGTGTATGTTCAGTGCGATGGAGTATGTTTTTGTGTGTGTTAAGACTTTGAAGAAGTTCACGTTGATTGTGCAAGGAATTTCCTAATGGTAAGTAATGATCATAAACTTGACAATAAATTAAATATAACACTAAAAATATACTAATTCTATTTGTAACAAAACTAAGCAATAGATTTCTATTACGATATACGATTACTCGTAATTATAGAATTGTAAACGATACGTATATAGAAACAGATGAAGTGCAACAGCGTGTATTGAATGTCTACGAAAATGTAAAGCAACCGTTTTGCATTAAGCAAATTAGGTCAATAGTGTTTGCAAACCTCAAGTACACAAGTCGTACAAAGTTATAGTTGTATAAAAACAACAAAACAAAAAAATTAAATAGTATATACTAAGAAAGATGTAGTTAAAGAAGTAACTGGTATTTTCTATCAAGAGAAGCTTAAGAAAATCGAAGATATCTACATTAAGACTGAAAAAATTAAATATAGATGTGATATAATTATTACTAACTAGCTACTCGCCATGGCTTTGTCCGGGTGTACATGTACTATATATAAACCTTCCTCTAGAAAGACTTTATCTATTAAAAAAAAGCGCTTTAAAATCCGTTGCGTAGTTTTAAGCATACATAGGGACGGATAGCCTGTGACGTGTTTTATACTATGTAATGAAGATTAAAACATGATACTGTAGCAGTAAATTGTGGTTATAGATTTTATTGTATCAAAAAAAAACCATAAATAATTTTATATAAATAAACATACATTAATAACGCATCTCACACTTAAAATGATTCTGCTATACAATCTTAACAGATTATATAATAGAATATTAACATATAATAATACAAAAATTATAAAATAGGTAATTAAATACTGACGGCCTCGATGGTCCAGTGGTTAAGTACACCGCCTTATTTCCAATGATCGCGGATTCGATTCCCCGCACGTTACAAACATTTGTATTTTTGGATATGATTATTTATATCGGTGTAGGTGTTTTCTATGTATATTATGTATGCACTTACAATAAAATAGTATCTATATGTTTATATCAGTTGTCCAGTACTGTTCACAAGCTCTGCAAAGCTTGGGAGTAGATGGCGCTGTGTGAAGTGTCCAGAATTTTTATTATTATTATATTTATTTACTTATTAGGTTACCAACAAGATCTAATACAACACAATTATATTATATATAATGCATATATATAACAATATAGTTATATATTTAGTGTTCTAATTATATACAATTATCACATTTTTATAACCAATTGCTTACTTTTTTGTAGTACAATAAATATAACATGTGACGTTTAATTTACTACTTAAATTTTACTTCACAGTACTGTTGTAACTAGGACATATAACACTACTAGCTGATCCACACAACTTCATCTATATCATCAATAACAAGTGTGATACATTATTTAAATTATTAACCGGGTCTTAACACGAATAATTTTATGGCAAATAAAGGTATTTACCTCTCTCGACGTTTCGACTAGGTTGCACTAGCCGCGGTCACGAGCTGACTGAAGACTCGGTTAATAATTTAAATAATGTATATTAAACACGAAAGTTTAAAAAAAAGTGTGATACACTTGTTTTTTATCATTATATTTCTCTCAATTTACATAATATCTTTTTAAATAATAGCTTACATGTTAATCTTATTTATAAGCTATATTACTGTACTTTCATAAAAACCGATCAGTAGATTTTACGTTTACGCGAGTATAATATTAGTAAATTTGAGACATCTGCGAAATTTACAATAACCACCACTAAATATATCAACTGATAAGTGATATTTTGAATAACAATTGTAAGTTCTCATTACCCTGCATAAAGGTGAGTAATCCAACTTAGTTAGCGCAAGATTTTTTGCAAATAAATTATATTTACCTGATCTAGGGACTTTAGGTGGTACTCGAATATTAACTCTATTCAGCAACTCTGAACAATTCAAATTGCCATTCGCTAATTTCCAAAGAAACACATATTTGTATTTCACCATTAACGTAGGTAATTTTTAAATCTGAATCTGATAAATTGTATATTTTGTTATATTTCTACATTCGATGGACGCGAGCAGCGCAGGACCGATCGTAGAGATCTTTGAGGAGACCTTTCTTTATCACATGTCTTATGTATGTATGTTCACATAGGATATACATTAATGCTGCGTGGAGCCATTTCAGTGCATATATAGATGTAAAAAATGATTATTTTATGTTTATTTTTAATTATCTACACGGTAAATTAAGTTTAATTATATGTACATTTTATTTGCTCTTTTTTTTCGTTTGTTGTTTATATTGTATTTTTTACATTGCACTGAATAAAATATTTGTCTTTCTTTCTTTCTTACGGGCTGAGATGATGATGATGGTGATGAATATTTCCACATAGATAATAACTGAAAAAACTACAATAATACTGTCCTATATAATTATGTACAAGTGAAATGACATAACATGATTGAATAGTGCACCGCTCATTATACGATGTTATTCCAAAGTAGTTCTAGTTTGATAGAAATAGAAATAATCTTCATTCAAAGAAACCATTCTACCTCCCATTCGAAACGCAGACAAAAAGATTGAGTAAGAAACTTCCGAATTGCTCTTAATAACATAGAAAATATGATTAAAATTAAGATTCTCTATAATTCTATTTTCTTTCCAATGTATCGTAATACTCAATTAAACAAGGAACAGAACATTGCACCTGTGAAAGAGAAAACTTGAAATAAATGCAACGTCGCAATATAAGTGTAAATCAGTTGATTTATGGGCTTCGGCTTCGGTCCTTATATATAATAAAGTATAAGTAACTACTTATACTTTTGTTATAAATAGGGATCCGGACCACAAGTAGACCCCGATGGGATGAACATTTATAATGCACTTCCATTAAAGAATATACAAAGAAGAACAGACTTTCTTCAAGTACACATAAAAGTTTATTTATGTTAATCTAGATAATTTATTTTCATTGCTGCGTTAAATCATACCTTTTACAAATTGACTCTTAAGGTCAACTATAATAATATTTAATATATATTATATATATTATATTAACTATAATAATAATATATTTGTTTATTATTCTATGCAAAAATACAGATTTCTGGAGAACTGGTGCCTGTACTAGGTATCCGAAGAACCTATGTAACTGGTTACCAGGTCCCCCCACTAGACCTTACATGCTACAATTTATATGTGGTGGTAATGGTACATAAGATGAAGGATATGGCTACTATATTTAATGATACAGAGAATATTATGTAAAGAAAGAACAATAAAATCTAGTGGTACGTTAATAATGTAAAAGTATCCAACACAGAAAGAACACTTGTATGCTTGGGTATAGCCCTACGCTATAAGTCTTTAGGGTTGATAAATTACCTCTGGACATAGTATCTAATTTACAATTTTAACAATTTAGGTTTTAACTAGGATTATTGTCATATTCCAAAAAAATACTGATTCAAATATAGTAATAGTAGTGAATGAATGCATTTTGGTCTGTAACCAAATTTTGTGAATCAAGTTTAAGTATAATTTCAGCAGCGACAAATACAGTCAACGAATAAAAATCTGTCTTATTTAGATGATTTACATAAATAAAAAGTAATAACTAACTAAACAAACCAAATTAATCAAAAAGTCTGTACTAGATGCTACAATATTGGATAGAAATGTACTTCATGAATTGGTGCCATATCCAGTGTTAGATTTACTACAAAAGCACTCAACTGTTTAATGCTTCTTACCACTGACAGGAAGGGGATTGCTTGTGGCAAATATTGGTTCTATTGCTAACAAAGTTTAGTGTTAGAACGCTACACGCGATCCCAATTAGAAACCATTATGCTTCATTCCTGACGATTTTTTTCACGATGCTCTAAGTAGTCTAATATCATTATCACCCTCCAATGTTTCACTAGTACCCTAAGACAGACCAGTATGAAAAACCCTCTCATCTTTTACATACATCCTAGCATTCGCAGATATATTTTTCTTATTTCTAATTTATAAGATAATACATTTTGCTGGCGTATACAAAATTTCTTGCAGAAAATAAATGATGGATTGCCTGAACGGAGATTAACCGTGAAATTGATTTCTATATCCCTCATGAATACGGAGATGTGACATATATACTATATGTATACTCTGAGGATGCTCGTGGCGTATATATATTGCTTGGAATGAATGACATCCCGGGTGTGAGCGATGGAATGAATGAATGAAATAATGCGCAAAAAATGGTAAATACTTGTAATGTAGGTACGAACAGTAACAGTGCATAAGTGAAAGTAAAATATTGTGACAATTCTAAAACTGTAATAAAAAGAAATTGAAAATTGGTTCAGCAAAAAAATATATAAAAATGTGTAAAGATTTTGCAACACTGGGTATAATTCTAGTCATGATAAATGAAGATATTGAACTTGTTAACATAACGACTATCAGTTCTTTTACATGCGTATGCACGCATATTATATTCATAATTTAATATGCCATACACTAGATTAATCTAACTTGAAGATCATTGTGTGACAATTTATTCTCAGATAATTTTCTTGGCGATAAATTCTTATGCATAAAAATGTGTAGATTTTTATACCTTCTTCAACATTAAACTATTGAAGTTGTCTATGAATTTTTAGACTGTCACTGTCCTATTATAAAGTAGTATTCAGAAATTAAATATAGCAATATACGTGAAAAAAAGAGTCAATATTGTCTATTCTTTGGGAGACATAACAATATTACACAACCGTAGAACATGAAGCATATAAATAGTGAACTCATGCTATAATTGACATATGTAATGGAGATAAGCTTCTGTGCAATGGAGATAGATTGAAAGAAGACAGATTATGCAAATAACGTACATTACAAGAGATACCTCTTATATAACACACTGATTATACTTTTTGTTTTCTGCAATAGCATATGCTGGTGGTCACTCTATTCTCCCAGATCGGAATTTAAATGACTGTGTATTATTGTTAACATGACAACATTTTTTTTTAAAGAATACGATTGGAGTTTTTGTCAGTTCT